ATGAATCGAAATTCAAATGATCCAGATATTCCTGAAAAGAAGATCCCAAACCACGGACCACCACCACGAGACCTTCACCACAAGATCACCACCACGAGACCACCACCACAAGACCACCACCACCACGAGACCACCACCACGACCACCAACACAACCACCCGCACGGACCCCCGCCACGGACCACCACCACGGACCAACCACCACGGACCACCACCACGGGACCACCACCACGGGACCACCACCACGGGACCACCACCACGAGACAACCACCACAGGACCACCACCACGGAACCACCACCACGAGACCACCACCGCGGACCACCGCCACGGACCACCGCCACCCGGCCACCACCATGGGACCACCACCACGCGACCACCACGACGGCCACCAAGGACCACCACCACCACCACCACCACGGACACCGCCACCACCACGACAGACCACCACTACCAAAGGAGCACCACCACCACGGGACCACCACCACGCTGTGGGACCACCACGACGACCACCACGGGACCAGGGACCACCACCACGGGACCACCACCACGGGACCACCACCACGGGCATTCGGGAAAACCCCCCAAAACCCAAGCCTTTCAGCCCCAACCCCTCAGCACCCCAAAACCACCCACCCCCCACCACACCCGACAGAACCCAAACCATTACAGCAAAAGCAAAAAACAAAACCCCCCCCAAAACACGACAAAACTCCGGACACAAACCCTATACAATTTCCATTAAACCCCAAAACCCTACACCGTAAAGCGTAAAACCCTGAACCGGGGGATCCCGAAAATTCCCGGAATTTAAATTCCTAGGATTTTTCGAGAGCTGTTGCTGATATGTGATCGTGAGGCCGAACCCGCTTGAACAGCTGGCGGGCGGTGACCGCCATCGGAACTACCCTGGACCAAGAGATTTCCTTGAAGATTTCCTTGAAGGTGTCATCACTGTTGCGCTGGAACCTGAAATCCAACCCGGCAAGCCCAAACCTCAATCCGGACAATTCCTAAAATTCCGGGAATTTTCAGCTCCGGGTGATTCCCAAAATTCCCAGGATTTTAGAAAAAGTGCTAAAATTCCCGGAATTTTCAGGATCCCCCTGCAAGGCCCTCACAAGCAGCCAAATGGACCGGAAGAGGAGGCGGGGCATCCGACGGGGCGGCCGCAGAGCGAATTTAAATTCTAGGATTTTTCGAGAGCTGTTGCTGATATGTGATCGTGAGGCCGAACCCCCTTGAACAGCTGGCGGGCGGCGACCGTTATCGGAACTACCCTGGACCCAGAGATTTCCTTGAAGATTTCCTTGAAGGTGAAGGGGCACCCACGTCATCACTGTTGCGCTGGAACCTTAAATCCAACCCGGCAAGCCCAAACCTCAATCCGGACAATTCCTAAAATTCCGGGAATTTTCAGCTCCGGGTGATTCCCAAAATTCCCAGGAGTTTTAGACAAAAAGTGTTAAAATTCCCGGAATTTTCAGGATCCCCCTGCAAGGCCCTCACAAGCAGCCAAATGGACCAGAAGAGGAGGCGGGGCATCCGACGGGGCGGCCGCAGAGCGAAAATAGGGTCGAGCCCGTATCCTTTTATGGGGATACAATTGCGAAAAATCCATTCATAATCTTTTCCATTCCATCAACCTTACCGACCCCCAATCAGTTCCCCTCCGGTCATCCACACACGAAGATATTCAAGCGCGCTAACAAACTCTCGCCGCACCAATGTAAATACGGCATCTTCAATTCCTTGCAAAAGCTCAGATTTCAATAAGAATCTGAAACTGAAACTTTTGGGATTCCTGAAGATTCATCACGATAATATCATTCATTCTAGTTTCACAGTGGTGAATTGAACCCCAAATGGTCCTGCATCACTGCATACATGGATTTGTACGGGCGGCATAATATTCGCCAAAGCAAGCTGCCACAGTTTGCCCTATTTTTCCATTTCTACGGTTCTGTGAAGTTCATCCTCTCCCAAGCCTCTGCAGGGCTTTACAGTGGTCCCAAAGTTGCAAAAGCAAGAAAGACACCTCAAGAAAACTTCGAAACAGACCAGGTGCCAGGGAGATAAACCTAACTAAAACTGCGAAGCATCTCATAGCACAGCAGCCTCAGCGCTCAATCGATGAAGTAGTAGTCCCAGCAGGAATCAGCTTCAACATTCGAGCACCCATTCAGCAATGTGCACATGCTAAGGGAGCTGCATGCGCTGCTGGAACTGAACTGAAAGGTGCGACACCAAGGGTATTCGCTACCCATGCACTTTTCTTTACACGCGGTGCGTGAAGGAAGACCATATATTAGCTTCGACTGGGAGGACTCCATGCATGCTTTACCTGCCAAACGCTCCCAGTCCCCAACGTTGGTTCCGAAATTTCCACTTGGTCCAGATGGCGCCATGCACTCCAAGTAGTAGTCTTTGCCCTTGAAATCATAGCATCGTCCACTCTGAGGAGAGCAATACGAGGAGCAGGAACCACAGCAGTCCGAATGGCCTTGAGATCCTTGAGTTGGAGCTGAATTCGCACATTCCAAGTAATAATACTTGCCCTTGTAGTCGTAGCAACTACCACTCTCAGGCGAACAAAAGGCGGTGTGGCAGCCGTTGCAGCACCCTGCGTGTTGCCAAGAGGAGCGAACTGCGCCTTGTGCTGCAGTCGCGTTAACCTTGGCTCCACGCAAAGGGGGTGCTGCTGGTGCTGCCCAGGCTGATGCCAAGCAGAGGATGAACACACTGCGAGCCGAAGCTGAACCGAAGTGACCCACAACTTGCGAGGCTTGAGCTGCACGCTCGCCCTATTTGGAACGAAGTAATGCCACATAGACATAGTGCGTCCACGCAAAATGTATATGTATATACAGACAGTACATGATGATGTATTCATGTAAAATGTAAGGTATCTGAATGTATATGTCATGTAGACATGTCACACGTGTGTGTGTGTGTGTGTGTGTCTGCGTGTCTTCAACTGTCTCCCAATTGTATCTGGCTTTGTTTGTTTCTTGAGTTATGGTTGTTTCAACTGTTTCATCTGGTTTTCGTGTTTCGGGTATCCTCTTTCCTCGTCTTTCCTCTTTCTGTGAGACTCTTTGACCTTCTCAGCTCCCCGCCCACCCAACTCTGGATACGCCTTTCGCTCGCAGTTCAGCTTGAAAATTCTGAGAATCATAGCTTTGCAATTCTTTTCATGAAGTCAGAAGGCAGGATGTGTAGTAGGATGTTGCGAATGGATGTGACACGAATGAGGTATAAAACAAAAAGACTACACATAATCGCCTCGCCAGCGGCTCCGCATCGGAATCTTAACCCTAAGCATTCTTCAAGCCAAACTCCACTATGCCCTAAGCTTTAAGGGGGTTAAGAGTGCTCAAAACAACAAATACAACCCAAAACACAACCAAAATTCAATCAAGTACCTAGCAAAAGCAACAAAAACCTCCCCCATTTATAGCTCGGCTCGATCGCTAGAAGTGATGCAGAGGCAGGTCAATTGCGACGCTCCTTGACGAAAAACAAGTCAGGGTTGCGGTTGCCAGGCAGCCTTTCTTCCAGTTTAATGTTGAATTTGCGACCCGCTATATGACACCCGCGAGAAGCCGAAAATAATAGAAACAGAGAATGGACACATAATAAGATTGCCGCAGAAACATAATGCGACCGAGCCCGTAGCCTTTCATAGAGATCTAACCTTATAAATCTAATGATATTCGCCTCGGCTTCCTGCCGAGAAGCGTCTGGAACAAGCAGACCCGGATCGGGCCTCCTTCCCCCTAACCCAACCCTTCCCCCCATGCCAGATTTTCCAATCGCTTGAAGGAGCTGCAAACCGATGCCGTGGAGGGTCCCGTCTGTCGGCGGCTCCTACAGGGCCCCCGCCCCCCCGCCCCCCCCACCCCCCCCCACCCCCACCCCCCACCCCCCCCCACACCCCGACCCCCACCCCAACCCCCTCCCCCCCACCCCCCCCCCCCCCCCCCCACCCCCCCCCTTTGACCCCTCTGCCCTTCCTCTTTGCGAAACCCTCTTTCCGTTTACAATTAAATATATTAAGATCAAGTAGATTTAAAAATCTATCACATTGAACCATACAATCAAAATAAGTAGCCCCATTTCTACTCATAAAATCACATGAACTCTTATTTCAAGGGTCTCGTTCCCTAATTCTTGTCCATATTGCCCTCAGAGTCAGGATATTGTTGGACATCATAGATTGTCAAGACTCTCGATGGCGGGCCTAGGTGCCTCTTGCTCCTCGCGATCGTCCAGCGCCTCCATGGCCTCCATGTGGCTGACCTTCATGCCACGCAGCTGGCGAAACTCCAGGCTGCAAGCCTGCCCGGCAACGCAGGCATCATCAGCCAAAGCTGCCGAGAGGTCCTCTCCACCTGCACTGGCCAAGAACAGGAACCCGAAGAGAGAGTGGAGGACCATGGCAACTGGGCCACAGGAGTACCGTCAGGCTGGCAAAGGGGGGGTTAAGTGGCACTTGGGCGAAAGATCTCAAGGCACACAAAGCGTCGCTTGAGCAGCATGGCAAACGCCTCCCGGAAGCACGTAGATGACATACAGGGGACGAACACATGGTCGCACCATTCACGATTCTTGGCATGCCCTGAACACACCGCTTCCAGCAGCCCCCAGACACTGATGATGTCACCAAAACAGAAGCAAGCAGCTACTCTTGCCACGTATATAAACAATGACAGCATACTTGCGAAATAACAGACAGGTGAAATAGCAACCTTTCGGAACTCAAGAACGAAGTACTATACGAACTGATGTTGGGAGTAGTGTTTGAAGTGTCACATATCGAGTACAATTACTAGTGTCTGCGTGACAAGCATGCCAATTGAACATCCACTGCGATCAGGTATGTTTTTGCTCAAAGCGCGACGGTCAAGGGAAGGTCGGTTGCATCAGCCCAGCACCTGACAGGCAGAGGTCCCGGGCGTCCACTTTCTCAGCGCAGGTCGGATCGGCAAAAACTAAGCACAGTAAGTCCCGAGAGAAACCGACCGTGCACAAACGGGAGGCCTGACGGGTGCGCAGGACAAGATGACCTTGCATGAGACGTGGACTGAAAACAGACGTTGCAATCATGCCACTGTTGGTAAGGCCAAGATGCAGTCCAAGAAGCTGAAAGCACATATTATCACATATGCAGAATCTGCCAAGGCAAAGCAGCTCCTGGCGATGTCACCAAGCATCTCGACTCCAGCATATGCATCCGAAAGTTGCACCAAACCAAGGCATGACAGGATGGCGTAAGTGAGCTCTCCGCCTGGCGCCAGAAGCCTATCCTTGGTACACAGGCAGCATGTGAGGCTGCATGACACGGCTGCGTGCGCACATGCTGCAGTGCGAGGGTCGCTGCTACAATCGCCGTCCCTGGGGTCTCTGCTGCTCCCGCGAAGGAACGGTGACAAGCTGGCACTTTAGAGGGCGTTGCTCTCTGCAGTAGGGCTTTGGTAGTGTTGCAAGGCAGTTTGCGCCAAGGCTGCATGTCGTACCAGAGTCTCCAATGCGAGGCTCTTGAAGTAAAAGCAATTGGACACGTGTGCTCTTAGTCCTTGTGCAAACCAGCGGCGAATGGCCAGGCAAAAAGCTTTCAAGTTTGGGCGGCAAGGAACAAGACGGAAGAAGAGCATCGTTGATGACAGCAGTATCTACTGCTTTAAAACATGCTGCAGATCGGAGCAGTGGACGCTTTGTAGGTCCTGGCCAACCCATAAGGCCCTGAGATTGAGCTGTTGGCAATGTCAGAACCATGGCCAGCTTGGATTCAGGATGGTTCTGGCTCCGTTGTCTGCGGTAGCTCCAAAGCCGAAGCCTTGTATCTGTACCCGCAAGCTTCGGGCCAGCATTCGTGGTTGCGACAATGCTCGTAGGCTCAACGACCATGGCCGGAGCAACAACTGCAGCCACGGCATTCTCAGCCGGAGCAACATTTCACAGCTGAGACAACGTTGGGACGGCTGCAAATGCGTACAGTTCCCGTAATACAGAGCAAGAGACTTCTCCAACAGCATCCAGCACATTCTAAAATCTTCTTGACAAACAGTTCGTGCTTGAGTTCCTGGCACTTGCATCAGCCTTTGCCTCTCTGCTTCGAGATCCTGCACTATGCGAGTTGTAGTGGGTTTCTCTCATGCGGTAGGTCGTGTTCACTGGCCAGTTCAAGCATGCCCAGTCCGACGATGGCTGCTCCCCTGCGTTGATGATGAGCTCCTGGTCGTCATCTTGCCCACATTGAGGAGTGCAGGCAGTGCAACTCGCAAAACATCACTTTTCGACTTTAAAATGTCTTGCACGGCCTCTGCAGCGAGGATGCGTGCGGTGTCTTTTCCGGCATCCTATCCACACTGGCGCAGTTGCACCGCAAAGGATGTCCGACCTCTAAAGAGGCGGCCTGCCGTTCAAGTAGACCAAGCAAGTACGGTGCCAACGGGTTCGACCTTGCTTTGGGCAAGGCCCAGCGACTGCACAGCGCAACACATCTCACCAAAAGCAAGCTCCTGCGCAAGTTTGTTGACTGTGCCGGGCGCTTCGAGCTGATTCTTTGCGATTCCTGTAGGACCTTAGTGTCCGAATCCGTGCTGTTGCCCAACATGTTGGTCCGAGCGTTCTCGACTTGAACCGGCTGATCACGAGCGCCCGCGCACACGCGCGCGCACAGGCACAGCGAGAGACAGAGAGAGGACGGCCGGACAGAGTGCTACATAAAGAACATACTACGATCCAAGACCCCGATTTTCGAACACAAATTGAGGGTGCGTTGCGGGTACGTGGACCCCGCATCCAAATTCTACATCAGGGCAAATGGATAGGTAATTTTGTTGGTATTTGACCTCTCTGACGATGCCCGCCGCTCACGACAGACCCATGGCGCAAGCTAGCGGGTGCCTCTTCACAGGCTGGGGAGAGGGGGCCCTCGTTGACCCCTGCAAAATGAGAAGCCCTGGGAGTGACTTCCCTGCATCTTTGAACTGGACACGGTCCACACACGCACACGGGTGGCACCAATGCGTCAGCGGATTTTCCTCTCTCGGGTGGCCCATCAAAAAAAGGCTTCAACAATCAAGCGAACTTTCTAGTGGAAGCTTTTCTGGGCATGAAACATTTTGTGGAAAACCCTTTCTAGTAGTGGTAGTAGTGGTAGTAGTGGTAGTAGTGGTAGTAGTGGTAGTAGTGGTAGTAGTGGTAGTAGTGGTAGTAGTGGTAGTAGTGGTAGTAGTGGTAGTAGTGGTAGTAGTGGTAGTAGTGGTAGTAGTGGTAGTAGTGGAAGTAGTAGTGGTAGTAGTGGTAGTAGTAGTAGTAGTAGTAGTAGTAGTAGTAGTAGTAGTAGTAGTAGTAGTAGTAGTAGTAGTAGTAGTAGTAGAAGTAGTAGTAGTAGTAGTAGTAGTAGTAGTAGTGTAGTAGTGTAGTAGTAGTAGTAGTAGTAGTAGTAGTAGTAGTAGTAGTAGTAGTAGTAGTAGTAGTAGTAGTAGTAGTAGTAGTAGTAGTAGAGACGTAGTAGAGCAGCAGCAGCAACAGCGCAAGAAGTAGCAAAAGTAGCAGTAGTGGTGGTAGTGGTGATTGGTGGTTTCCGTGGTATTAGTGGTATGAGTGGTAGTAATGGCAGTAGTGGTAGAGTAGTAGAGGGTAGTAGTGGTAGTAGTGGTCGCAGTGACGGACGCAGTGGTAGTGAAAAGGTGCCTCAAGCAGCACGCCTGCCATGCAATCAACTTGCACTTGTACTGCAAACATGGCAACTGATTGGTGGGGAACTTTGGTAATAACTAGGCTCACCTTTTGCGAACGTGAGGGATACGTAGATTCGATCTTGCCGCCGGTGTATGTTGCTCCTTCAGGTTCTCTTGTTGGTCTTAAGGCCTTCCAGATTTTCTCGTTCAAGGGGGTGTGAGATCATACATATTCCTCTTGTACCCTACTTGAGAGCCCGCAGGGGACAAGGCCAACTTATGTGGTCAAGACTTGCGGCTCCTGTGCAAAAGATACTGGCAAATTAAGACACCCGTACTATGGCGTCGAGCTCGGTGACCTCGCATATGTGTGAAAAAGTGGTTTTGGGCTGGATTGGGACAACCTAGAACAGGCAGGTACATGTACCTCAAGTCCCTGCACACAAAAACACACACAGACTGACGCACAGACTGGTACACTCGGACATCGCACACATTTGCACACCAGGCTCTCGGCCTCCTTCGCTTCGGTAAGTCGGCGCCAGTGGATCAAGAAGTACCTCCAAACTGCTACGCAGGAACAGCAATCCAAGAAAGCTTCACTTGCCAGAGCCACAACAAAAATCTCAGTCTTCTGCCCTAGGCGGCCGAGCGCGTGGGCGGCTAGGACGTTACGACGCGTTTGTCTGGCCAAGTGACTCGCCTTGCCGCAAGTGACGTGCCTATTCTCTCGCAGTCTCCCAAATAGGCACTAAGCTGTGCCTCCCTGTAGCGCCATTCCGCAGCGGTCGCGTGGTTGCGCTCTGCCAACCACTTCGCATGGTAGTAAAGGCGCAGCGCCTCGGAATCCGCAACTGAGAAACAGACCCACAAAGACGCACTCAGAGCCCTTTAGCCCTTTATGATGCCCTTTTCTGCCCATTTCTTGGCAACACCACAAGGCCGTCGCCCGCTCTGCCAGCTTGACACGCTGATGCTGCTGTGGGGCTGCCTGAACAGCTGTCGCCAGCAGGTCCTGTAGGCACCAGAATTTCACAGAGTTTGTGAGACGAAACTGCATGGGAACTTGGGAACATCCTCTGCTCTGAGCATCTGCCGCGGAACCCCAGCACGAGAGCCTTTCCAGTCCGAAGCCTGGAGCTGCGCAGCATGTAGAAAAGCAGTTGTGAAAGAAACATGCAAAATGCGGAAAGTTTCATGCACTCGCTCAAGCGCACCCACGGACCAGCAGCCGACTCTGCAGCCATGCAGGCTCGTTTGCTGTAGTATACACCTCAGGTTCTCACAAACACGCACCTCAGCTGCTACGACTGACGTGCGTCCAAGTATCAGCTTCTAAGTCCAAGCGGTCCACATCTTTTGTGAAGTACGCTATGGTACCCTTCGGCAAAATCCTTAGGGCCGGGCCCCAGGAAAACTCCGCCTGCCAAGAGAAAGATGTTGCAAACAAGTGTTACAACGATGCACACAGCACGTTGGCAAAACACGAATGTTGATGATAATACATCCGGGAATCGGGATCATAGGGATGACAGTCACACGACATGGATTGCGCAAGCATTTACAAGTTGTATGCAAATAGTCAAAATGTAGCAACGTAGTTGCAACAACAAGATATTCGTGTTCGTGATGGAAGTAGCAATAGCAATAGCGACAGCAACAGAAACTGCAACAGTTACCACAATCGTAAGCGTAAAAGCAATCCTAATCGAGACATAAGATCAAGAATAAGAAGAAAAGTAGAGTAAGAGCCAGAGCAAGAGTAAGAGTGGAGAAACCACGAAGCATTCAAGAACAATCTGAACCGCTCGCCCATGAAGCTAAGACCGGTTGCTTGCCCTTGCCACTGCGGTTTAGTCTCGGGGCAGAAGGGTGGCGGCTCGAAGTTGCGAGAAGAGGTTGGAGAAGCAGAAGAGAAAAGATGAAAGGACAAGAGCTTCGGCGGTTCCCCGAAGGTAGATTTGAGCGAATTCAAGGTTAAGTCCCAGCGCTCATGAACCGACGAACCCGTTGAAGTGACAAGCAGGCGCCATGTCACCGGCTCGGTATGGGCCTCCCATCCATCGGACTCTGGAAGCGCAGGAGGCTCCACCGTGATCACACTCGGCGCGGCAGACCTGGAAACGGCTTGCGGACCAAGGAGGCTCATGGCAGTACAAGTGTACGCAGGGCTTCTTGTCGAAACGTTGAGGGATACAGGGATGACTTGGGTGACTCCTGGGAATGGGCACGAAGGAGTGAAGGCGTGAGAGCGTGAGAGGGTGAGAGGGTGGTGAGAGTGAGAGGGTCAGAGGGTGAGAGAATGAGAGGGTCAGAGGGTGAGAGAATGAGAGGGTCAGAGGGTGAGAGAGTGAGAGGGTCATAGGGTGAGAGAGTGTGAGAGCGTGAGAGTGTAAGAGTGTGAGAGCGTGAGAGTGTGAGACTGTGAGAGTGTGAGAGTGTGAGAGTGTGAGAGTGTGAGTGGACAGAGTGCCGAAACACGAAGCGCAATAGCCGAGGCAAGCACGGGGCGGATCCTGGGGGGCGAATCGCCGATGCTCTCTCTCTCGTGACTCCCATGTGTGCTCGATGTGACCACTCTGCATCGTGATGCTTCTGCAGAAAGACGGGGCCTGGTATCCAGCCGCTCTCCCCACTCTTGCTATCCACTACCTCACGAGGCCTGAACGGAACGGAACACCAAGAAGAGACGCCGTTGGCAAGCACCAGGCCGCACCCCGTGCACCACACTTCTCTGCATTTCTCTGCCTTGCTTCTGGCACCTTTGCTGCGCCAGACTGCGCCCACGCCTTGGCCACCCAACATCTTGATTCAAGATTATTGCTTCCTGGCTCCGGACTCGAAATGACCACAGCTGGTCCACAAGTGGCTTCCCACATGGCTTCCCAGATGACCCAAGCGCTTGGCACCATCAGCCCCTCGGCTGGGCTCAGGCACCTGTAGCTGACCGTCGCTGCAGCCAGGAATACAGGATTCCCCACATAAAGAATCCTTTGAGAAAAAAAGCAAAGAAACAGTAGGGCCCCTACTGCAAGTGCTGCCGCTGCCGGACCATTGAAAACTGCCAAGTCCGGTCGCGAGTTCGAGATGCCAACAAGGCCCGAAATGCCCAAGATGCTCGAAGCACCAAAGATGCCCATCCCGAAAACGAAAAACAGTTCGCGCCTGCCGCGTTGGCGGCGCATGAGGCAAAGGCCTCAAAAACAGCGCGACTCCCGCCGCAGAGGACTGGACCCCGCAAACTTTCTCTAATTCCAGAACGTCAGAATGGGAGTGCGGGCCTGTTCCGTCACTGCTTGGCTTCTTGTCACAGCCATTCTCTGTGCAGCTAAAGGCATGTAAGGTCGAGTAAGCATGAAGGGTGCAAAGCTTGCCGCATAGCTTCATAGCCAGGGCGAGCATAGCAGCATGGCGAGCCGTTGGCTGGACATGGCTCAGTGGTGCCGCTTCCAGTCGCCACATAGCTCAGGTTTCGCCTTGTCACCTTCCCGGCAGCTGGTTAAATTTCCTGGTCGTGCCCTATGGTCTCCATGAAGCTCCAAAACGTCCACGACTTGCAGAAACCTTCGTCCTCCGTCGCTCAGTCCAGCACAATGCTCCAACCCCCGCCGTGCTACAGTAGCGCCAGTTCCTTGCGTACATTTTCAAGCTCGTGAGTGAGGTGCGCCCGTGCATGTTCAGATTGCTCAGCATCCTCGATCGCAAGGCTCTCAAACCCTTGCTTGGCAGAAGCGTCCAGGGCCTCCCAGCGTTTCTGAGAAGCTTCGCGGAGGAATCCGGGGAGTCGCTCGCGCAGTCCATGGAAAAGAGCCGGCACTCCACCCTCTGCGTGCAGGGCTTCCTCCACGAAGTCCTTCTGGTCCGCCTGTGAGAGCTGCTGGCGCCAGAAGACCATCGCGGGCCGCGGCGCCGGGACCATGGCAAGGCGCTCGCGCAGGCCGCGCGCCTGCCGATCCAGCAGCGCCCGGCGCTCGCGACGCACCATCGCCCGCAGCTCAGGCAGCTCTTCAGGCAGCTCCTCGACTGAAAAGTTTGGGCCTGCCTTGGCAATGACAGTCGACAGGCACTGCCAGAGTGCCGTGCACGAGAACCTCTGGGCGAGCTCGAGAGCTTCTGGAAGCGAGTGCGAGTCTGCCGAAAGCATCTTCGAAAGGCGCTGTGAGCATCGGTTGATGAGTCCCAGAATCTCAAGACGATCAGCTGCCATCAGCAGGTCCATGCTCCCAGATAAGTCCAGGTTGGACACGGAGTCAGTGTAACACCATTCCAGCACCTGATCCAACACAATTGCAGGCAGGTCCTGCATGTGAATGTGTCGCCTGCCGTCATGAAGTTGACCCTCTTGCATGTGGGAGGCCAGCATGCGTCGAAACACAGCAGAACGTGCAGCGAGGATAAGACTATGCGCTTCGCGGCGGTGGCCGTCCGTTGTGATCACAACATCCGAGAACTCGTTCTCCGGGCCCATATGCGAAATGTCCGCAAGGAGGCAGCCCGCCATGGCCCGTGTTATGTTACGTGGCTTCTGTTTGAGCCTTTTTGTCGGGATTTAATGAGGGGCGATGCCAACCTCTTTGCACGCCTGGCCAAGGCGGCTGTGGAAGAGGACCCACTCTGAGTGCGGAGCCCAGCATGTCACCAGAATCGATTTACAGCTCATCTCTCCTTGATGACGCGTTGTCAAACCCAAGTGCAGACTGCAACACGTGACACATCGCGAAACCGTCCTGCACAGGCCGAACCACCTCAAGGCCGCAACTTGCTGAACTCTCTTGCATGTCTCCACAAGGCACGAATCAAGGCGGCTCCACACGGCTCCTGTTTTTTCAGCGCCACAGAACAGAGTCTACTCCGTCAGCCGCTCCAGCCATCCCAAGCCCTCTTCCGTGCTGCGGCGTGGGTGGTACTCCAAGCCAATGTGTCCAGTGTAGGCCTCTTGGTGCCGTCCGGGCATGCCACACGCATGCAGGGCGCCAGCGCAGCAAACAAAATGATACTTGCAGCTTCGGTGCGAGCTCATGTCGGAGAAGCTGAAACAGCGGTGGGAAGTTTACTTCCTGCCTGTAAGGGACTACAGGACGCACACGAATCACACGAATCACACGAAATCGACCAGTGACAAGTGTCTACACCCGCTGTTATGCCAGATTTACTGGTGCTAGCTTTTCGAAGACGAGAGTGATGGAGCATGCTAGCTACATGCTCCACGAAGCTGTTGAGAGGTTGCATTCTAAGCAAGATTCGCTCTCCATGAACTACCGTGGCATAGAAGTGCGTTTAGAGAGCCGCCAAAGCCAACCCCATGGGTACAAAAAGCTTCAAAAAGCTCTGCCTGTTGTCCGGTTCTGCTCTGTCTGGGACTCCTGCAACTTGAACATGGCCGATGAGGTCCTTACACTGGAATACGCTGGAAGCCATCAGGACACCCAGATTCAACATCTCTCCTATGCTACTATATGTCCAGTGACATCAGCCTACGGAAGCCTACAGACTTGAAGTCTGAGGTCATCTAATGACAACTAGGCCTTGCTACGACTTAGACTGTAAACTGGCCAAGTCAGCTAAGTCATGAAAGAAAGGCGATTCGGAGATATTTGCCAAAGGCGCCGCATACTTTCGGAGGTTCATGGTAAGGTCACCTTACCGTCTCGCGGGTCGCACATGCTTGTGACACAGGGTCCCCCATACTGACATATTGACATCCGAGCAGCCGTGCATGATCTGGCAGTGGAAGAAGTCGAAAAGAAGCTTCAGGCTGCCACGAAGCTCTGGAGGAAGATTTTCAGACACTGCCTCGATTGTGGCCGCGGCATGCGGGAGGGAGCTCAGATGATAGCCCGGCCTCGGCTACATTCAGGATGGTTCAAGACCTTCATTGGGGGAGTCTGCCAGTAACTGGACTGAGCTGCATGCTGCGTTGGTTTATGGGTTCGATGACCACCTGACGGGACTGTGCTGCAAAAGTGGTAGAACTGCAGAAGCTGCTGAGATTACATTCGTAAATGTCACGTGCTTTCCGCGGCCTCGACGCCGATGCTGCCCAGAACCCTCACCGCACGTTCCAGGTTCTGTCGGTAGATCGCATCGCTCGAATCGCGCTCCGAGGTCAGCCCAGCCAAGCAGTGCACCCGCGGGCATTTGAGCCTGAAGGAGACGGACGTTACGTGACGTTATGCGACGTTACGCGACGTTACGTGACGTTACGTGACGTTACGTGACGTTGCGTGACGTTGCGTGACCTTGCGTGACGCTACGTGACGCTACGGACGTGACGCTACGTGATGCTACGTTGAACGGAGATCTACACAAACTCTACACTTATAATTCTACTGACAGGAGCTCTTCGATGTCCTCGCGCGCGGTTTTTCAAGAAGCCCCCCCAGAGGAAGCTTTGCCTCGCCGCGTAGTCCGCGGTGACCTCCAGGGAGCGCTCGAAGTCCTCGGCACGCTGCAGCGCCGCCAGCCCGCGCTCCCCGGCGTTCCAGTCCCCGGCCTCTGCTGACTGCTCGAAAGGCGCGCGCGCAAGAAAGAGGGAGAAACACATTTCAGAGAGAAAGCAGAAAGCCAAAAAAGCTGAAGCCCACTGTTTCCATATTAGGTTCAGAACACGCTAAGACATGATCATCGTCTGCAACCAACCTGCCGGCATGTTGAAGAGCACACATTCAAGGCCCTCCTTCTGCAGTGCAGAGGCCACCTGTCAGGAGCGGAGAACCTGAAAACACTTCATGGGAGGAGGGCCGGGGGTTCCGACTAGTCAGCTTCGAAGTGTTGCGACACATGTGTCCGAAACCGAAGCAGAACAAGCGCGGCTCGTACGGGTGCGAAACGCCACCGACGCAGAATCATGATAAGCTTAGCAGCTTGTCCGAAACACAAGGCAAGCCTAAGACCTTATTCTTTTAAGAACTGAGGTCTGGAAGGCCGAGGCCCCCAAGATTAGCAACTCAAAGCCTTTGCAGCCTTCAGGCTGCAAAGGCTGCAGCGCAAAGCTCTAAGCTTGCAGTCCGTCGGGGGCCCAAAAGACTTGTAATATTGCCATATAAGTGACACAGGCGATCAAGTTCTCTAGTGCACGATTAGCCCGTTCTTGCAAGTGGTTCGGCATCTCGCCAGGCTCAGGAGGCCAGGGGAGTGGCTTGAAACCTTCGGTTCGGGGCCCCAAGATCTGAAACCCTAGAGCCTCCAGCCTTCAAAGCTGCACCCAAAGCCCTGAAACAGCAAAGCTTTCAGAATTGAGGCCTTGAAGGTTTACTTGCATGAAGTGGCCCAGAAGAAGCCCAGAAGAGGCTGTCCCGCCACAAACAACCTTGACCCACCCAAACAACTTTCCCAAACTTGACTCAGCTGGTCAAAAAACCCTGCCCTGCAAACCTGTCTAAATCTTGTTTGTAGGAGGAACCGTACATTCACCGGATACCGGATACCGTGGATGCCGTGCCGCGACACGTGCAACAAGAGAACTCTGCCTCCTGTGCAGGGTGGTTGAAGAGCTCCGGGGTAGACATCTCCACCGCAGCGAATCCAGCAGCACGCGCGCGCTTCAGCCGATCGATGAAAGATGCCTCCTGCGCGCTTGTCTCGAGGCTCCCATGGCACCCTCAAACTACTGCAACGTGAATCAGAAGCGCTCACGAACTGTTCATGATAGCAGAGACATAGTCAAGAACCAGAATGAAAAAAACAAACGATACTAACGACGCCAACAAACGCTGCCCCAAGACAAGAACGAGAAGCAAGAATCACCGCAGTCCTGAAACAGCATTGCCAGGTTGGCAGAGAAGCCACGCCGCGAAGCCGCTGCCATCGCTGCCATCTGCTTCCCAGTACTGTTTTTGCTCAGCAACAGACAGTACTGATGCAATGCTGAATGCTGGAAGAGCCGATAACGGGGCATACCTAACTCGACGTCTTACACTTCCTTGTGCTCTTCCTCGTGCTCTGCTCGTTTGAAGCAGGTGAGGACCGGCTCAGGGCAAACACCATGGGAAGGCGAGCAGAGACTTGAATCCGCGCAAGCATTCACTCAGACCAGTAAGCAAGGATTGCAAAGACGCTCCACTCCTTCGCAAGATGAGGTTGAGGCCCCGTGTCGGAGGGTAAGGTGTTGAAAATGGAATGCTCGCAGCTCTCGGCCTGCTGGGTTGGCTTAGCAGCTCCACCTTTCTCCACTGCTCACAGGCCTGGCCGCTAGTCCTCGGCCAGGGAGCGCTGCTCGCTTGCTTTCTAGTTGATGAGGTACCTGTCAGGCAAAGCTGAGCAGTGATGGCGAAGGTAGAACGGACGCGGGGTGCACCACGTGAATTAGTCGCTCTCGGAAAGGACCTTGGTGAACATGCTTGATAGATCTTGATCGAATCCCCACTGCAGCTGGCATGGCATGCTCCTTACATCTCCTTACTCAACATGTTCATATGAGGCCGCAGCTATGAAGGGTTGGCTACCAGAGCGAGCAGGTGTGCGGCTCAAGGGCAGGCGCCGCACACTTGATGTATGGAGCCGAAAGTAAAGAACACGTTGACGAGCAACACATGGCTGTCAGCAAGCATTGTGAAAGTTCAAACTGGCGCAAGGAGGCCCTCCTAGCATGTTTCCTTGAACCGAAGCCAGCCTCTATGTTGCAAACTCCTTCGTGCAGAATGCGCCACTCGATGGCAACAGAGGCGGTCCTTGATCGCCGGTCCTCTGTCGCCAAGCTCGAATCCTAACTACTAATTCGACCAGGCTCTTCCCGAGTTCTCCAGGCATTACTCCTGGTCGTTGCGCAGATGTGTGGCGGAAGATCGAAGTAGTCGAACTGGCGTTTGTCTGGCCATTGTGAATCATGCACTGCAAACATGAATGCGCAGCAGGAGGGATAATTTCACTTGTGTTCCACACCAACGCCACAGATCATGCATGTCATCTCATTTAAATACTTCGTGTCTGCAGCCTGCCTAAAGGGCATAAGTGCAGTCTCGACATGAGATGTTGAAAGATGCCTTGCAGGAGCTGGCCTCTGAAAGGTCTGACAGGCTTGCAGTCTTGCGCGCAACATATGAGCAACCGTGACATCCAGCAGAAAATTCAAGCAAAGAAGACACTTCCGCAAGCAAAGGCGCGCAAGCATGCAAAGCTGCCAGAAGGTTAAGGAGCTTCCGTGGTCCTTTCACCAGGAACTCTGTGCAGGCCATTGTCAAGCGGAGGCGGGCAACTGTAGTTCTTGTTCACTGCAACTGCTGTTGGCTCAATGTAGCCGCTTCGACTCTGCTGAGTGGCTTCTGCATGCAGGGACAGCTTTTAGGCAGTTTTTTAGACAGAGGGGAAAACATCCCAAGGCATACATGACACAACAAGAACGTGAATGGACTGTTGGCCCCGTCGACCGTCCCCTACACGCGCGCCTAGCTGCAAGGTGGCATCTTGCAGCATGAAAATACGTGAAAATCCGTGAAACACACTTTGGAAGCATCCAATAACGAGAACAAAGCGCCCCTGGACTCCCTTGATTCGCTTGACTCAAAACCCCCGTTTCCTTCTACCCTATTGATGGGCGCTCTTCTACCCTGCTCATTATTGCCCTCAGGATAGGGCAGCTCTGCGGCTCGAAAGCCGCCCGAGCTTGTTTGACATGCAAAAGAGGGCTGGCAACAATCCGATCCATTCGGAGAACTTTGAGCGTCTTCACACTTCACAGGACTTCACAGGACTTCACAGGACTTCACGGGCTTGAGAGGATCGGTCTGCTACTCTATGCCTCTTGCGGCACGTCACGACAAGTCACCCGCAGCGGAGCTGTCCTGATATGGCCTGCAACAAACGGAAGAGTTGCAGGGGCGACTGTCCCATCGCAACGACAACAAAATCTCGGCTCGGCCCTTAGGCGTGGACACATGGACCGCTGCGAAAATCACGCCTGAAGAAAGATTGAGTAACCCATCTTTGTGGCCCGTGCGAGGATGCACCAAGGTGCACAGCTTCCTGTGGTTCCGCAAGTTTCATGAGTCGACCCAGAAAACAATTGTGAGTGAGGCCAACTGCAGTGCCTTCCATGACGAGTCGTACCTTTTTCCTCCGCGCAGACTGGGGGCTGTAGGAGCGCAAGCTCAACAAAATCCCCACCGCGGCGTTTGTACTCCTCGATACCACAGAAAAATGCGAACGTACTTATGCTCAACTTACACATACTGCCGCATCTGAGCTCTATGTCTCTGCTGGGAGGTACCCAGCCGAAGACTTCACCATGCCAAGCAAATAAACATCGTATAGTCTGGACTGCCGGGCCCATGCTTAAAAGATCACGAGCCGGAACCCAAGTTCAGGTTCACGTTGACCGCCGGCTGCACAGCCAACTCGGTGCGCTGGCGTCAGACATGCCATGATGTGACGGCTTCCCATGGCTGCCACACAACGGCTGAGCTGTACCCCACATGTACTACATGTACTACATGTACCCACACAAGATTCTGAGCGATTGACGAAAGGTGGAACAGGATGCTCTCGGTAGACGTCTGGCATTGAGGCATCATTGATGACCTGGAGAGGCACCCTCACAGGCACCGAAGCGCCGCGAAGCGCTTCCCATGGAAGGCAAGGCACTGCGTCCCCAGTAAGCCCCGGACACCAAAGTTCACGTTGGCAGGATGGCTCGGGGGACCCAGGGGCCCTTGAGAGAAAACCTCAACACTATGCAAAGACTCTGCAAGGCACTTCAGTCTCTTTCTCTCCCCTGGGCTCGGCCTGCAAGTTGCCCAGTCCTTCAGGCCGCACAAGAACTCGCAAAGCAGGATCGAAGGACCTGCCGGAGATCTGCGGGTGCGTGGGACCTTCCGAGATCATTGCCTTGGAGTCTGAGGGTCCAACACTGACATGCCGTAGGCTCGCTTGCTCATCAAATCTCTCATACGACCTGCAGGACGCAACAATGCGCACGACTGGGTGCTTCACCGGAGCATCGCAAAATTTGCTCTTCCAGCTGGATTGCCAATGTCGCCCGCTGCGCGTTCCTCATACAATCCCTGTGAAACCTGAAGCGCGCGGCGTCAGTCTGTGTCAAAGAAGGCCCCTTCCTCTGCCCTTCCTGCCCTTCCTCCCCCTGCCTCACACAAATCTCCAAAAAGTTCGTCCAACTGTCTGGGGCACCATGACAGTTGAAGGGTGCAAGTGGCAGACTTCACCGCAGAAACTGGAACTGCCGTGCAGTCACAAAAACATGAGAGGCATCATGCAGTGCCAGACACATGTCATGCGACGAATGTTGAACTGAAGCTGCGTTCCATACTGAGTTCAGGACGATCTTCCCACTTCTTTTGCAGTGCAAGTCCTTCCCTGCTGTCCTGAACAGTCACGGAGGACTCTGAGATTCCAGTGACTTTGGGCTGATGAAGGACATGAAGTCTGGGTTTGAAAAACGGCTCGTGACTTTGATATGCTCTGAGTGCCTCCACACCGAACTCCAGGTCACCCAGGCGACGTTCTGTCGCAGCCTTTTGCAGCACAAGGGCTTGGAAGGCATGTTCCGGCACTCTGCCCATGCCTCCTGGGGGTCGACCATGTCTGCCCACGCTGGCTGGAGCTTCTTCACCTCATGTACGCATGCTTCCTCGTCACGTTCCCTGTCCACTTCCACTCTTTCATTCCCGAGGCCCTCGCGGAAGCCTTGTACGCATTGAATGTTTCTTCCAAGATATTCAGCTTTTCCTGGCAACTTTGACGCCCGCTGGGTCAAGAAAGGTCGTACACCTGCGGAGGCAGGCCTGCACTCGCAGAGGGCCACCGCGTTGGGACATCTTATTCAGGAGCTTCCTGCAACTTGGTCGCGTGTTGTATTGAAACTATGCTGACATGCCTGTGGCATCACATGGGATTCGAGCGCATGTAACACATGGCGCCTGTTGAGGTCTGCCGATGCTTGCCGCTCGGCAATGCTGCGCTGCAAAGCCACTATTTGCAGCACCTGACGCTCATCGCTGCACAACGGTACCCTGTAGGCATACTGACGCTCTGCGAAGCGTCGCCAAGGTTCTGGCATCTTTTCTGATCCGATCCTGCAAAGCCTTTCGCTGCGCGTCGCAGGCACCTTGCCTGTCAGCTTGTCATGCTTGTCCCAGAAGCACGACGGGCCACGGGAGGGCCCAAGTGGCAAAGAGTTGCGGCAATGAGGCATGGGCGAGCCAGCTGCACTGTCGAAGGCGGCCAGGGATGCCTGGCATTTCAGGCTGCCAGGGTCCGAGACCCTGAGCCGTTCACACCGGCCCGAAGTCCTAAACCCCAAACTTGCGAGAATGCCGCTGACCAGCGGCATGGGTTCTCGAGCAGAGCGGGCCCTACTAGCGCAACTGCTTAAATATCACCCCTTGCGAAAACTGGTCGTTCTTGTGTTGAGCTGCTGGCCCACAAACGGACTCCCTGCAGACAGTCGGTGGACAAGGTTTGCTCCCTACATGCGTTAAACTGTTACGAAAGCTCGGGACTCAAACCCGCAACCAAGCTTCGTACACACTGTCAATCGAGCACGCCGTCATACCCGCGTACTTCCGGCATAGAAGCCCGTGGCATTGAATTGTCAACATTCATCAGGCCCAATCCATCGTAACCAAAAGAACCGGGTTTCAACCTCCTCCTTATTTGGAGTTGCTCAAGTCACTTCTTGACCACCGATTAGCTGCCACAGAAGGCTGTCCGTGGCCTTCGTCAATGGAGGCTATCATGATGTCAGCATCTATCCTCATCTATCCACTGTATCTCGTCCGCAGGGTCTTTAAGACGGTCGTTCAAGTATGGATCGTCGTACTGCTCGAACATCCAGGGATCAAAGATAATAAAGATAATGATAAGAAGAAGAAGAATTCAAGCTCCGCTGACGTGGAGAGGACACCTTCGCCACGAGCTTTGTATTCATTCTGATTCATGACAAAGCTCCATACTCTAATGGAGGCCCTATGTTATATGACACCTCTGTATTTGTTAATGTGCAAACCTCTATTTGACTATATTCTCACTGGAGAAACCACGGCTTGGCTGCACCACCCCCCCCCCCCCCCCCCCCCCCACAAATTTTACAGAATCATCCAGGGTGTCCATGACGTTGGGCAAGGATCGGGGGTAGTGCTTTTGAAGGCTTTTCTTGCAATCTGAAAATGTCATGACACGTCATGACCTTGCACAGAAAAGCCTCGGTGACTGGGCTAAGTCCGCAAGAAGAATCACAGAAGAACTGGGAAGGGCCCCACCCTAAACCATCCCAACAAACCTTTAGATCCAGGCGCCTGCTCAGCGCTGTCCGCCACGCTACCGAAGCCGGGCAGAGCACGTCCGGCACGCGAAGTTTCGGTCCACGTCCGCAAAGCATCATCAAACCGGTTTTGCCTCGGGGACGCTTCTCCTACTACTCCTACTACTACTCCTACTACTCCTGCTACTCCTACTCCTGCTTCTACTTCTACTCCTACTGCTGCTGCTGCTACTTCTACAACGACCACCGCCGCCACCGCCACCGCCACCACCAAAGCACTGCCACAGCTACCACCACCACTCGCCCTGCCACTACCCTGCCATCACTAACTACTGCCACCCACACCTACACCACCACTACACTAGCACCACTACTACCACCTGCCATTGCCCCAACAACATGCATCTTGTGGCCAGCCACCCCGCAGTCAGGGCTTCTCCGCAAGTGCCAGCAGAACCTGCTCCAGAAGAACCTGACCCAGAAGAACCTGCAGCGGGCGACTGCTTCTAGCAGCTACAATCAGCTACAGTACCCAAACTCTGCATCTGCAACTCACAAGGCCTGTGGCAGCGGTGCTTGCCCCTTCCTTCAGCAAGAAAAGACAGCTTTAACAAAACACTTCAAGGCCTGGACTCCCGATGCATAATGATGCATAATGATGCATACAGTGCACAGTCCTTGACCGCGGCCACTTCTGCCCGCCCGGGCCTGGACAAAAATGATGCGAGCAGCACGTGAAATAGGACATGCGCTGCACATTGGAGCAACAACAGCTTGGTGCAATGCAGGCGCCAGTTGATGGCCAGCCCTCAGCCCCCCGCTGCACAGACACACACACAGACACACAGATCGATGCGAGCCTTTTTGGCACGAGCATTCTACATCGTTCAGCACATGCTTGGGCGGTCTTCGGTCTGTCACTCAGGCCGAGCACCAGGCCGAACAGCGACAGAGCAGCCCACCTCCAGGCACGGCGTCCTTAGAGCGGGGCGATGCGCGAAGCACCGCCCTTGCGGCACTGCCACCCTTCGCGCCTACACCCTCGAATCGATCTGGGAACCCGGCTGAGCGGAGCCATCGCTACAGCTACCAAAACAGCTCCAGACGGTCAAGTCCGCAGAGCTTTAAGCATTCAAACGTGAGACTTTCGATGTCTGTGTTCGGAGTGCAGCAAGGCTCGGTCTTGTCTGGATCTCGTGTTGTGCTGGCTGCTCGAAGCTGAGAAGGCACAGGCAGCGGAAGCCCAACATAGCCCAAGAAAATGAACGTGCGCAATCACCGCTCCACCCACCGTTGCTTGGACTACGCTCCAAGGCGAGGACTCTTCCAGTGATGCAGATTATGCAGCCGCTTGCATACCCAACATGGGTGTCATGTCCCTGGTGCAGGAGCGCACGATATCCCGACTCTGAAAAGGATGCGGGGTTCTCAAAGTCTAAGCAAGTCTGAGCAGCGGGCATAGGCAGCCTTGGCGAGCCCGTGGGAGGAGGCATCATGAATGCCTGGAACCCGGCCTGCAGCATTGGCTCACAGCGAAGATGGTCCAAAGCTCGGAAGATGTGACCAGCTGCCTGCCCGAGCTTTGGCGACTGCATTGGTGGCGGCGGAGTCGGGTCCAGCACCTTACAAAACAAAATCCGTTGTGGGCAAATCAGCCTTTGCAGGATGCGGCAAATGTCAGCTATACTTGTCTAGCACAGTCTGCACGCTGGCGCCGGCACGTTGCCGTAAGCCTCGTAGCAGGTTGCTCACAACCCTCAAAGCCACTTCTGCAGGAACGCCATCGCCATCCCATGAGTGTGAGAGAGAGAGAGAGCGCTTCCGGCCTGATAATGCGGTGGCGGCTGGTAAGGCGGATACTGATATGGGGAGAAGGCCGCAGGTGCAGTTGCATGTGCAGGCATGTGTTGTTGCACGTGGGGTGGCAGTGTGCCCACAGGCGGCAGCTGCTGTGCCGGCATTGTTTGGGCCATGGTGTGGGGCATCGTCTGGGGCATCGTCTGTGGCATTGAGGGTACCGCGTGGGGCAGAGGTGGTGGGGGCACCATGGTATGGGGCATTGGCTGGGGCGGAGGCAGGTGCTGCTGTGCCACCACCGGCTGTGCCGGCATCTGCTGGCTTGGCTGTGACGTCATGACAATGGTGGGGACGGCCTCGTGTCGTTTCACTGTCGGCAAACGCACCGTGCTTGGCTCGTCAAAGTTAGCCTTGCTGAGCCAAGCTCCTGTACCGGTCCATCTGTCGCGCCAACCTTCAGACATCAGGGAGTCGTGTTGCTGGCAGAATGGCGAAACTGATCACATGCTCTGAGGTTCGGCTGTGGGCCCATAGATGATGTGCTGGCCAGGAACGGCCTGGCCACAAAGTGGAAGCAGCGGTGTCACATTTGCCGCCCACACGGGGCTCCCCAAAGACGGCCTGCTCGGCTGGTGGCCCGGGATATGTTTGGACAGGTTGTACGCTGAGAAGTGGTTTCACAGGCCTCTGTTTGCCAAACACAAATGCGAGAATCTGACCTGACGGCCTAGGTGCGCAAAGCAACATTCGGCCTGTCCGCATCAGGAGGGTAGCCGGTGTAGGATTGCACGCATGCCTGCCCAAGTCCCATCTCAACACTTCGGGCACTCCACCAAACTTGCTAAACGACTTGGTGCTGGTATCCTGCATTGGCAGAGCTTGCGATAGAACGAGCGGTGCTGGAGGAACCTGCAGCGCAACAAATGACTGCGACAGGAAATGGCAAGGTCAACTCGGCGAGTTGAGCAAGGCCTGCGCAACTGGCATCTGCTGGGGCCTCTACGACTCTGCCACTCCACACAATCAGGCCATGCCAAGAGGTCAGCTATCAGAATCTATCATGGTTTTCGTCTGCACATCGATTGCCGTCACATGTGCACAGTCAGCACAGCAGACTTTTGACGCTTCCACCATCTTGCGTCACAGGCGGCAGCACTGCTCCACGCGTGCATGCCCTGTACAAAGGACACAGGCTTCAGCGAGAAAAACTTGCCACGGTATCCAGCCATGGCAAGCAATACCAGGCTTTGCTCGGATCTGAAGCTTCATGTTGCCAGCAACTCCACGGCACGTTCGAGGCTGCCCTCAAGAGCAGGGAGGAAGCAAATTCGCCATGAATGTGCCAAATCAACCCATGTTATTGATGTTGCCGCCTCTGCTTTCACAAGGATGTCGCAGAGAACCTGCAAAGCAGCAGACGGCTCAAACCCCGTTTCCCCTCCACCAACTCCACAAAATCTGCGTCTCATGGATGTCGTGGCCTCACGCCCACAGGCAAAGCCCATCTCTTCCAGCAGCTTCACCGCCTGGGGAGTCCCTCCTGGCATCCAAGAGGTCTGAGGGTTGCTCCCTGCGAGCATGCAGAGCACAAGTTGACAAAACTTGGCCTCCGTCGTTTCCTTGCTTTGTCAAAGGGGCTTCACAGCCTTAGGAGTGCACTTCGAGAGCCCAGGCGTAAGGGGCTCTTCGAGGCGGCGTGGGCGGCGTAGGGCTGCTTTTCTGAGGAGCCCACGTCGCAGATGCAGGGCCAACTCGCGCAGACTGCTGCCGAAGATATGTCCACAGCGGTGGCATCTCAGATCCTGAGTGGGATTTGGACAATCGGGAGGACGAGGTGGCATGAATTGGGCGCTAGAGCGGAGTGGGACTTGAAGACAAGCGTGAGTGGACTACTCTGAGGAGCTGTATGATTGGGGATGCAAAACCATCTAGTGGTTCACTCATGCGCTTGCATGGGCTCGCGTCGTCTTGTAACCGTACCTGCTCAGCTGAGGCGGCGGCGCGCAGCTGCAATTTACATGGTTCCTGTACATCAACGCGTCGCTTGACGCGGTCTGCCAGATCTTCCAAGGGCAAGAAGCTGCCCGATCCACTCGTGAACTCCAGGTAGTGCTGCTGGGTTAAGTCCATGGGGTCGGGCGCCACGAAGTCCCTGCTCAGAAGGTGAGCAGCAAGCTGCTTTCGCTCGCCCCTACGAGGTCGTACCCCGATTTGGAACTCCAGTTGTGGGGATTCCAGCTTCAAGGCTTGCGCGAGAAGCCGTCCGTACAGGCCCAATCGACGTATGGACCCAACATCTGCAGGAACCAGGTCGTCAAGTCTCAGCGGTCTCTTGGTCGAAAGCACCTCTCAGGAATTCCCCCGAAGGCCCTCTCCACACTGAGGAAAAGTGACGGAAAGAAGCCTCTGAGTTCCGGACCAGATGAACGGTACTTTTCGAACGTGCAACGTACAGGGCGACGAACTCGCTGCATTGGTGGAAGACCATTTGTGAGACACGGCCTTTTCCTTTGCTCTTTCGCTGGATGCCTGAAAGATTCTGGATCCTTAGAGAAGGGGTCTACAGGCCCACTTGCGGCTCTGTGCGCTGCACGCTCTGCACAATGCCACTTGCCGGTTGCGGCCCAGGTCTCACTTCCCAGACCCAGTCGCCGCTCTCAGCTTCCACCTCGTGAACTCCCCTCGCCTCGTACCGGCCAATCCCGGAAAGCTTCACCTGGCGGAGACAAGCTGAGCCCATTCGGAACTTGGAGCGTCACATGTAGCATCAGGTGGACAAGTAAAGTCGCAACATCTTGCAAGCGCACACAAGTTCTTGCACTGCGTCCGTTGACTTTGAACATGTTTGAACCACAGATTTTGAACCCGGCCTCTCGGAAGAGATCCTCGGCTCCTGTGATGCTACTGTCCTCTGTTTCCAGATGCAGGGCCGTCTCCAGAGCTTCCTCACTGCGGAAGTTAGTATGATTTGTGTTGAAAGCTTCTGAGAATCTACTTCGGGTTTCGGGCAGAGTGGCAGACCGGACGAAGAAAGAATGAATGACATCGGCCGGGCAACGCTCTGCGGAGCGCCTTGGCGAGGATGGCCTGTCCCAGAGATTGCACTCTTCTACCACATCTGATCACTAAAAACCCACTTCTATCACCAGATTGCGCCCTAAGCGCCCTTGCCGCAACGAAACATGTCGGCGTCATGGGAGCTTCAGCCTGGCTTTCCAACCAGTACAACCTGGATCGTTGGGAGCCCCTCTTGTGGCAGCAAGCCAAGCCGCTCCTTACTCGAGGCAGAGAGGCAGAGACCGTGTTCCCACACCACCTCCGGCCACAAACCCGGGTGCTCTCTGGCCCTGACAAACATGCCACCCCCCCCCCCCCCCCCCCCCCCCCCCCCTTGCAACAATTGGAAGCTCATGCCATCTCATGCCATCTCGAATGCCACCCGGGCTCCAGCTCTTTCTGGAGTGGCTCGGCATCGTCCAAGAGAGTGAAGTGCGGCTCTGCTCCAGCTGTCCAGGCACCCAGCTGAACGTCTTCTACACCCGAAGGCAACACGTGATCGCGCAGCCTTCGCAGCATCTCACCCACTGTTGCAGCAGCATCATTGGGAGAATCCAGGATGACGGGGCAGAGTTTGGAACCATTGACATTCCGCAGCTTCGCGTCAGGGGTCACATGCAGCCGAAACTTCACCTTGCCGGACTTTGCGGCTTTGGCTTCCTCGGACTGGTTCTGGGCCTCGGCCGCATCGATCGTCTCAAAGCCTCACAGGGCAGAACCAAGGGGAAAATGAGATGGGGCAATGGGCAACTGAGAGGAGGTCGTCTAGAGATTCTAGAGTCCACCGGATGGCGAGCATACGGTGCGATATGTTACGATGGTCTACGGACTTCGGGCATGATGTGCACCAACAGAAGGATTAGCGACTGCTAGTGCTCCAGAAGCCCCAAGCAGCCCCAAGCAGCCCCAAGCAGCCCCAAGCAGCCCCAAGCAGCCCCAAGCAGCCCGAAAGCCCGCGGACCTTCCAAGGCCCAGAAGCGGAAGGTGAGGTTCGTGCGCTCCCTGTGGATTCCCTCCATGGCCGGGACGGCATGCAACCAATGTCGCTGAGAGTTCTTGCCCATCACTGCCAGCGACCCATGGAAGAGCGGCAAGGTGAGGTGGATGATGCCCTGCCAGTGCGTTGCGTCGCTGCGGCCGCGGCTCTTCCGTTCCCCACTCCACTCCCGCTTGCTTTTGAAACAGAAGTCACGGGTGGCACCCAGCGACAGGGAGCCGATGATGGGGTCGGGCCCAAGGCCCTCGTTTCCATCGGTGTGCCAGTGTATCGTCACAGTGCCATCGCGGTAGTGGTTGAACCAGATGGCGTTGAAGACGGCTTCGCTAGCCCCTTCGATCCTTCGCAGCAGGGACCTGGTCCAAACCTCCATCTTCTGCGAGACGTACGTTGAGCTGGAATCACTGGTGCTGTCGTACTGGATGCCGAAGTTGAAATCGTCGCAGATGCGAGCCTGGCCTTTCCGGTTGACAGTTTCCTGTACAACCCCGCTGGGCGTCTGAAAGTAGTAGGTTGGATGGTACATGGTTATCCGATCCTTCACTTTGCTTTCGAGCTGACTCGCCTCATCTTCATCTAGGAAATGGGGATACCAAAGGATCTCGGTATTCCAGGGCAGACGGAGTCTGTATGCCTTGCCATCACGAAGGCGATCCTCCCATTCTGCTACGGAAAGCGCCTCCCAATCCAGAATCGGCAGAGCTGAGGCTTGGAGCTCGGCTTGCTCGGCGACCCGCGCAGCCACCATCGCCGCCTCCTCCTTCCCCGCCCGGTCCGCCCGCTCCGCCCGCTCCGCCCGTTCACGCTCTGCCTTGGCCCGACGCCACCCGGAAGCGGAGGGCGCGGAGGGAGCGGAGGGAGGGGAGAGCGAAGAGGGAGCGGAGGGCGCGGAGGGAGCGGAGGGAGCGGAGGGAGCACCCGCTTCCGAGGCTCGCCGCCGCTCCTCCCGTCGCTTGCCTTCCTCCAAACATCGCCGCTGGTGGAAGTACTCCACCCAGCGCCTGTACATGGAGTTGGCCTCCTCGTGCCCAAGCACTCGCACACTCCGGTGGTCCTCCCAGAGGAGGTGCTGGACGTGGCATCCAGTCGGAAGAAGATTGCACAGCTGTAAACGATGGCATTTCTGAGGTTCGTGCATATGACCAAAGAAGCAGATGGGGCCTTTTGGCGCTGATGCCATCAGCCCCTTCAACAAACGCTGCACATCCTCGGCCTCGGCCCCTTCCACCTCCTCCTCTCCCAGCCTATCGCCCCAGTACTCGTATCCTGGAACAGCAGAATACACACATTGAAAACGGCACACAAAGAGGATCTGCCATTGGAGCTTTGACTTGGAATAGTTGGAAATTCCCGGATTTTTCTCAGTGCTGCCAAGCAGCGAACGCCGACACTTAACAAAGCCCGGGTCAGATCCTTCCCTCGGAACAACTGCTCCTCCCGTCCAGCGCGTGGGTTACCACCTCAAGCGAAAAAGATGCTGACCCTGATCATGCTTGCAGTGCAAGACTGGGTGACAGACGAATATCCACCAGAAGCTTTACGTCCAACGAGGACAGTTGCCATAGGTAAACCTCTCGACGGCACATAGCTGCGCACAAATCGCACCACATTGAAGGCATGATTCCCTGTAGCAGCCACACTGGCCTCGCGGCTTACTCGCCAGGTCCCGATCGTGTACACCTCAAAATTCGCGTGCCAAATCTCTGTCGCCGCTTACACCAAGGTGAGGGTGGAGCCTGCCGGACGGTTCCGGCTGCTTGGACTGCTTGGACTGCAGGGGTGCCTTGAAACAACACACGACAACAGATCGAATGAGAAGAGATGTTCTACACTTCTACACCATGCAGCCTGGCCACATGGCTTTCGGCACCATCGAGTCCGCTTCTCCGAAGCAGCATCTCGAAAGACAGCTTGGCTCAGGCTTGGCTAAACCAGCATGGCACGACTACAAAAGCCCTTTGAATCGGAACGGGTGACCGGCCTGAGCCATGACACGATTGCTCAGTCATGGCATGGCCAGCAAGTGCAAGGAACTAAGGGCCTGCATCCTACCATGATGCTTGTCCCAAGATCTTTGCTCACCATACACCAGATCTGGAAACGAACGGTTCCTTTGCTGGCTGAAACCGGAAGAAAAGAATCTATTCTGCCATGGAAGCTTGCGAGGACAGACCGATACTTCCGATTACTTCGGACTGCATCACGCCGTCATGGTTGCGACCGCTGCTGGCTCTGTTTACAACGTGCGTGCCTTGTGCTTGAAACCCGATACTGCCGATACTGGGTATTGCTGAGCTACTGTCTGCGAGCTTTGCGGCTTCATGTTGACAGCTTGGCGCTTCTGAACGAACTAGGCAGAACGAGGCTCACCCAAGGCAAACTGAGCTGGCTCGCCTCATATCCAGGGGATGGAACATGGCTCCAGCCATTGGCGTGCCGTCCTGCATGCTAGATTCGCTCTTGCTTTGCACTTTGATGTGGGCACAACTGGGTTAATTTGCGAAGCATTGTCCTTTTTCTTGATCTTCTTCTTGTTCTTCCGCTTCCTCTTTTCATGCTCGTAGTGACAGAACTCACAGTTGTACCTGCCACCAATTGCTACAACATGCGCACCGGAAGAGCAAGGTCTGGCAAACGATTGTCCAATACTGTCCACATGTGCGGACCCGTTTGTACAGCGCCCACGGGGGAAGAAGCAGCACCTCCAAAGGCAACACCGGCTACAGCAAGCACCAACCAGTCCAACATGCCATGCAACTGACACGTGTTTGCTGCCTCTTGCAGCCGCCCTCGTCATGGCCCTGAGGCTCATGATTTCATTGGTACTCTGTTGCTCGCGATGGTCCCCCCCCCATGGTCTCCCAATGCCTCGGAGCCCAAGGATGGATGGAGAGCTCCAACAGGAGCTTTCGGTGCGTCCTTGCCAAGCCAACTGCGTTCGCAGCTGTACATGATTGCAAGATGCTAGACAAGCTTGTGCAAGGCTGGACTTTTCCTCAGGATTGCGGAGGTGCACTGGGACGATCTGGTCATCGGAATCATCATCCTACACATGGGCGCGCGAGGGGTTCACAGCATTGCTAGGGAACGGAGAATGTTGAAGAAAGAGGGCAACATCTGAAGCAGGGTCTCCTCGTCGTCATCCATCTGCTCGGCCTGTTGGGAGGCTGGAAGGTCCTCGTTCGGAATGCACCTTTGGCCACAAATGCCCCCAAGACACGGTCGGTGCGACACGGTGCGACATGGTGATGTGTCATGCGACAGGGATCCGTTCCAAGATTGGAACGTTCGCGGAATTGCCAGCGCTCTTGTGGGCGAAGGTGCAGCCATCACACAAGCCTCCAGGATGCTTAGCGTAGATCTGCGCCGATCCGCGTAGATCCGCGTAGCATGGGGGGGAGAGGGTCTCTTAACTCCAAGGATCGTGCAGTGAAGGCTGTCGTCGCGGCAGTTCCGGCCCTTGGCAATGATCTGTAGCGACACTGCAGCGAGAAACCAAGCTCCTCACTGAGTCCAAAGCTGTGCTATTTTGCAAGCTCCCGATGGCGAAGGCGTCCCAACAGGTGTTTGTCTTAGTTCCAAGCTCCAGTAAAGTCCCTAGTTCACTCTATGCTTCGCAAAGCATGCCGGACCACATTCTTGGCAACCCCGGCATGCCAAACATTGCCCTGACTAGCTACTGATCCTACCATGAGTCGGAGCACGCTGCCAATTGACGAAGTCGGGACACAAGCAGAATCAGACAACAACGAGGGTCAAGAAGCAAGAATCACTATGAGTTCCAGGTCCACGACCACATTCCATTGCACGATTGTGATGGGGGGGAGGGGGGGCCGCAGAGCGCGTGACCGTACATGATCACTTCCCTCCCCCAACATGGCATGGTAACCCCCTCCCCTGTTTTTGACCGTTTTAGTTTAGCGTTTCAGGGTTTTCGGGATTTGGGGCGTAGGGTTTCCCTTCCTCCCCCCCCCCCACCCCCCTTGCCGTGGCTTGGGGTTGGTTTTAGGGTTTGGATCTTCGGGTTCGCGCGATTTAGGATTTTAGGGCTGCGCTGTTTAGGGATTAGGGTTTAAAGGTGTAGGCTCTAGGGTGTTCGGGTGTTAGGGTTTTAGGGCTTTGGGGCTTTAGGGCCATGATCTAGGCACTTGTGGATCAAATGTATTGAAGTTAGTGATAAAGAAATTTTACAAAAAACTTTCGGATGTGGGGCTGACACTGGATTTTCATACATGATCCTCAACTTTAGATGAGCCCGCCGATGGTTTAAATCCCGATTTCAAACATCAAGTCCGTGGGTTGATCAGCGGTATTTCAACAGACAAATTTCTGCTCATAATCTTTACAAGAGGTTGCGGCTGCTTGTTCTCGTGCTGCGGCGCTTGCCGGCGGCCGATGGGTCGTTGGGGCCGCTCTGAACACCCGATCAGCTCTTGCTCCCAAGGTCCAAACACGACACGTCGACCATGAATCACCTCAAGGAGAGCTTGCGGATCCAGTGATGATCCGAGACAATCGGACATTCTGGGTTCCCGACAGCGACAGGTGATATTGGCAGCAGCCCACCCTGCTCACGCAATGTCTGAAACTAGAATCCAACGAAGAACCCCAACAATGACATACCAAGTCTCTCCATCGACTCTCCGCTTGAGAAGACTTTCCTATCTCCTGGCCTGCGGACTGTTTTGGGACGGTGTGGGCAAGGCCCCTGCCAGGGTCCTCGTCAAGGGACTTGTTGAAAGGTGGGGAGGGGTTTGGGGGTTGAGGCCCCCCGTATGTCTGAGGCCCTTTTGAGACTGCACCTCTGCAGGAACCCAGGTGCGTGGTTCAGGTCAGCCGGCGCAGTCAGCAGCGGATTGTACCTGGACAAGGCACATACAGTATCAAAGAGTTCCATATTGATATACTGACATGGCATTTGTTTGGCAACTGGCATTCCGCAAAAATTCCAGGTGTCGCGCGGGGTGTCCAGCTTCATGGCTGAAGGCGTCAAGCCCGAGGGGACCTCCCCGGCTAGCTCCGATATGACTTGCGTTCAATAAGTCGAGGCAAAGCACCACAAACTCCGCAGCCACACCTGGACCTCACCTGGACCTTCACCCAAGGCTCCAGCGTCTATGAAGGTATTCTTCACAGGAAGCGGGATGCCGTTGTTCGTGGCACCAAGCCTTGGGAACCAAGATCCTTACCCTGGCATCTACAGAGTCTGCAAAGGGAATCTTAAGGTTGTAGGGTTTGGGTTTAAGGGTTTGGGGTTTGGGGTTTGGAGTTTGGGGTTTGGGGTTTGGGGTTTGGGGTTTAGAGTTTAGGGTTTAGGGTTTAGGGTTTAGGGTTTAGGGGGTTTAGGGGGTTTAGGGGGTTTAGGGGGTTTAGGGGGTTTAGGGGGTTTAGGGGGTTTAGGGTTGGCATTCCGGACGAAGTATGTGTAAGCTGGAAATGGTCGTTGCATGTCGTTGGCCCGCGGGCCCCCGACAACGTCGCCCCTTGGACAGCTGGAGCGTTTCCATTGCTCCTGGCGAAGCATCAGCTGTCTCCATTAAACGGTAGCATCCCTGATAGATGTTCCTGATAAGTTTTATGGGTTCTAGGGAGGTTTAGGGTACCCGAAGGATGCCATGGAGGCCCAGTTTTCATGAACCCCGAGTTGATGCCGTGAACATCCAGGAACCAGGCCTCACATTCAATGCGTCGTCTGACAGCGGCGCCCTAGAAAAGGGTCCACAACAGAATTCTCAGAGCTGAGACATTCACGAACTCGCGGGCTAAAAAAAGGGCTCAGAGGGACAGCCCAGGAGGCCCACGGTCTTCTTGCCGGCATTGGGGCCGCCTCCTACGCAGGCGCTACGTCACCACGTGAAAGAACCCAACGGTTAAAATGCAACAGAGAGTGGCCTCCAGCAAGGCCGCGTGCCTTAACCCGCCGAGGCCAAAGTTCTTTTGAGCCAAAAGATGCCGCAAAAGTGAGTGGTTGCGGATTGCTTGCGTCGGAGAATCTCGTTGCGGACTACGGCCTACGGCCCGCAATGTCTGACCGGGTTGATACCGGGTGCCAAGTGCTAAGGCCCTTTTTCAAGCCTGCGGCAACTCTCCAAAGCCTGGAGTGCAGCGCAGGCACTGCACTGAAACTCCCCAAAGAATTGTCTACCGGATGTTCTTTGTCCGTCTCAGAGAGGGCTGGCAAGGACTCTAAGTTCTCTAAGTTCACCACACATTTGCACCTCCCCAAGTCCTTCTATTTCCAATCGATATTTGCCTGTTAGCATCGCGTTAGCTTGAAAGCTGCGGCTTCCGGGAAGCACCCGCCACCTGCACGCGTCACGTGCTCACAGTCCTCACTACATCTCTAGATGCTGACTGCAGCTGAGACCCTTTCACTCTGCCATACTCTGCCCCCCCATATTGGACAACTTGCCCGGCCTGGACAGCCCTCTGAGGGTTGAAGGGTGCCTCGGTGCCTCGGCCAAGCCGAAGTGCCATCCCTCAGAGGAGTCAGGGCTCCAAGAGGATGCCAGCCTGCCATCAGCAGCAATCAGCAGCAGTTGCAGCAGTTGCAGCGACCACCAGGGGGGGGGGGGTGGGGGTACTTCAAGTTCCCCCTCTCACCTTTTCCCGCTCGATGTTCTCATAGTACATGAGGAACTTCTCAATGGGACCGAACTTGCTTCGATTCCACCCATCCTGACAATGCAAGTAATGCAAGTGCTTGTCTGGATGTGCCTGGCTTTGCATCTTTGCGTATGTCTGCCTTTGGACCGCGGGCCTCTGTCCGTGCCATAAGCTTATGGTTAATGATGTTCAGCTCCACGATGGTCTCCCCAAAGCGATAAAACCCACGGTTGATCCTTTCAAAGAGAGGACGGAAACTGCAAAAAAACGAGCTTTGAGACGCACAAAGGAAGGTGCAAAGCAATGCGCAGGGCAATGTGCGTGGGCCTCTGGAAAGGAATTGCTGAACCTGTGCCGTTGTAAAACTCTTCCAAGCGGAGGTCGATCGGATCCTCCTTGCGAGTTAGCATGGAAATTTGTGTTCATGTCAAAGGATGTCTCGTGGACTTTGCAAGTACTCTGCTGGGCATTTGCAGCAGCATCCTGGTCGACAGCTTCATAGGGCACTGCTGGTTGGGACTGTGATACTTTGCGAAAGCCCCCGCTGCCGACCTGCAAGGAAGTGCAGAGCAGAGCACGCGCCCACATCTGAAGCTGTAAACTTCGCAACGTGTTGCCTTCTCTCGTGCTTTGGCCTCCAGGACAGCATTTGAGCAATGTCACAGGAGACGAGATGTCAAGAGCGATGTGTTTGCGAGTTGGTTCATCGCACCGCCGCCTTCTTGGCAAAGGAAGAAGGAAGCTTGATACCTGCCTGGAAGCTGCAGCAAACACCGCGGCGCTTCACCAGCAAAACACACAAGGTTCGTGTCCGCTCTTTTCTCCTCACTCCAGCAACGCCTCTTCTGCTGGCTGAGCTCCAGACCCGGCTGAGCGCCGTTTGCAGCTCCTGTCCATCTCTGTTATCACTTCGTGGGCTCACTTGTTCCCCTCGTTTCAGCTCCATTTCTTCCCTGGAGTCTTCTCCTCTTTCTCTGTCGCGCCTTGATCTCCTGGTCCTTGCCTCTGAGGGCTTCTTCCAACTCGGCCACACGCTGCTGAAGTGCCTACATCTCTAAAGATGTGGGATGAGCACTGGGACGCACTTCACTCCAACAAACAGAGCCTCGCTACACTCTGAGCAGCCCCGGCCTGTTCTCGGGACGCGCCCATGGAAGCATTCGCCGGCATCGTCCTAAACGCCATCAGCACAGTCGTGCGCATTACTGCGCGTGCATAGACTCAGCAGCCGAAAGATGATCAATGGGCGTCCTCATTCCCTGCCCGGGCTGCCCCATAACCTTCGGTGCAGTGTCCATCGAACCTCGCAAAAGCGTCCGAAGTGGAAAGTACTGCTGAAAGGTCTTGTGGCCATCTGAGTGAAGCTCCGATGCTCCCCACCTCAGCCGCTGTGACTGCATAGGATGCTGCAGGCCCGAATTCGAGACAAGACGCTTCTCTAAGCGAAGGGCCGGTCGCTGCAATTGAAAGCTGCCCTGTCCAGGACGTACCACAGCGTTGGTGGGAGAGACTGGCTGACCCGGCTGCGGCTGCAGCTGGGAGTACCTCCAAGAAGAGACAGAGAAGTTTCTGCGAACCAATGGACCCACTGACACTTGCACTGAGCATCACTCAGAACCTGCTCAGCACACTCAGCCGGGGCATGCACGAGCCAGAAAGCGGATTCATCTGGGGCATGGCCTTCAGCTGCGTTTGGGCCGGTTCCAACGAGCGATTCGGAGCTCTGAGGCCCAAGCTGTCGGCAACTGGCTGCTGCCGTAGGGACCTGCCAACGCTAGTAGCAGCTGGAACATCATGGAGTGTCAAGTGAAAGTGGTCAGTGTCATGGTGGTTTATTCCCGGCGTTCCGGCGATCAAGCAGAGCGGACGCTATTTGCATCACGTGATGTCCTGGCAAAGTCCAACTGGTCTCGTTCGGTTACCTGGGTTGAAGGCAAAAGAAGTCGTCACCGGCCGCCTCCAAGGTCAAGGTCTGTTGAGCATGGGGTCGTACGGGTCGTTTTCGCTTTCGTCGCTTTCGTCGCGTTCGTCACTTTCGTCGCACCGCATCGCGCCGCTCTACAAGTCAAGTTCGACGGCGCAGCGGTCCCGCAGCCAAGGAGTGTCAGGGGACCTCAACGGTCTTACATACCATGCACCAAGAGCTCATCTCGCCGATACCACCTTCTGGCAGGTTATGGCAGCTGTTGCATTGTCACCGTTTAGGTTTAAGGCCGACTGAGGCTCTTGTGATTCCGGTCTTGATTTGTGCGCTTCACTTCGTCTTCCTTCGAAAGATTTCCTCGAAGCCAGCCCGGAAGGGACCTGCAGTCGGAAACAAGCGTGCATAACGGATGAGTGCAGCTGCGACATAAGCCATCTGCATCTGCTCAGGGAACCAGTTCATTGCAAAGGCTGTGGAGGCCTGAGCAATGCGACGCGCAACGGCGGTCTCTGCAGTTGCCCATCTCACTTTGTCCCTCACGTCTGCAATGAAAACGTCTGCCTTGAGCGGGACATAATGCTCCCAGGGCTGAATTCCCTCGTAATACCACCACTGCAGATGGGTCTCTGCCCGGAACGGAGTCAGATCCAGGGCGAGTGTGAGCATCGTGTTCCGAGCAAAGGTCCAGCCATCTAAGATGGCCCCAAAGCGAAAGTCCAAAAATGCCGCCAGCGGCATGCGATCAACCAGGAGCCCCAGGGAAGTCAAGATTTCAGCGAGCCTGGGCCACTTCTCTGAGGTCCGATGTCGCCCGCACGAGAACTTGCAATCGAAGAGTTCTGGGAAGTCCATGCTCATGGCCACATACTTCCCGCGCATCTCTATCTGACATGCCCGATGGACGGCCTCCCTCAGAGCCTGCCGTGCTTGCTGGTCGCTCTGGTTGTAGACCCGCGGGAAGTTGATGTGCTCTTCCAGTGACTGTGGGTCGCCAATGGACCCCCGCCACACAAGAGCAGCTCGGCTGGCAGACCAGGGCTTCGAAGTCACCCGGAGCTCGTTGGCGAGAGCAGCGCTTGCGAGCTGCTTGTCGGAGCCCTCGATCTCGGATGGAATTAGAACCACGCCTTCCCTAACAAGGGGCAACGCCGTAAAGCAGAAGACCGGAGGGAAGTCCGTGGCTGAAGACTCCTGGACTCGCCGAAGGAGGGCCTCTGGCCAACGTGGCATGGGATGTATGGTGCCCAAATTGTCCGGGAGCCCGGCCTTTGGAGGCAAAGCGGCAAGCGACTGGAGCTCAAAAGAGAAGCCCTCCTGAGGCCACGCATTCGCAGGCACATTGAAGAGGACCGCCCTCAAGGCCTTGTCCAAGGTGGAAATCCAGCGATCCATGCACGCCCCTTGGTAGCGCGGGCGCTTCTCCTTGCACTCCAAGGATTCCCCGACAGGGCCGGGCATCCACACCCGACAGAGCTCCGCGTCGAATGTGCTATTCAGCGGAGGAAGGGAAGGAAGCGGAAGGCGGGCGGCCTGTGCCTGGGACTCGTAGATGGCGAAGTCCTGGTCCAGACGTCGGCGCATCCACGGAGCGAAGAAGCTCTCAGGGCCACGAGGATGATGAAGATATTTGCGGAGCTGGCTGAAGCAGCACTGCCAGTATCCTCCGCACGGTCCGGCCCCAATCTCGGGCCAACAAAGCCATGGCATTCCCTTCGAGTCATCATTGTGGCGGTCGCAACAAACATCCAGAAAGACGTCCTCGTCCTGAATGTCAAGCAGAGTGTCCAGCTTTCCCCTTCCAGGGAAAGTGGCCGCTAGTTGAGCAAGGTTGGTCCGTGCACTCGCGATGCACTGCTGCTGCATCCTCTCAGACCCGATACTCAGGATCAACACCCCCGCTGATTGACCGGTGTTCGCCGACGCGAACCATGTCGACAGGAGACCCAGACGACCCGAGGAGACTTGCTCTGCCCTGTGGTACGTGCCAGTATACGAGTGTGTTGCATGCGCTGCGCAAGTCTTATCTGCAGAGAAGCTGAAGAGAAAGGAGACTCCTGAAAAACTTCTTGCCCCTGATTTGCGACTGCTAACTCGGAGCCAGAAAAGGCACAGATTGTGAAGATTCAAGTTCGCATCAAAGATGGCACACGTTGCGAAGAGTTGGGAACTCGAATGAACCGAAATGCAGCTTCCAGGACACCCGAAGCCTGCAGGTCGCATACCTGGAACTCCTGGGACTCCTGGGTGTTGAAGCATCGGCCGAGCCTCGTTTTGCTGATTTCTCAGAAGGGGCTGAGCTGCGCTGAGGGCACCGTAGAAAAAAACAGTCTGAATGCTCTCTCCATCCCATACTGTCACAGAGCCTTTTTACGATTCTGTTGCAAACACCACAACCGCAGCCCCTAAGAGCTCTCTGGCCAAGCAAGTGCAGGGCACTTGAGCTTGAGTACAGGAACTCTGCTAGGTCTTGCAACACCTGCCCTTCAAACGACAGGGTAGACGTTGCCTCAAGCTTCGAAAGTACGCCACTATGGGTTGCCACGTTGCATTGGGGGGATGGGGCATATCACCTGAAAGGGCAAGAGGCCGGAGCAAGGCTGCTTCGCAGCACTGAGAAGCAGCGAGGAGATCCCTCTGTGGCTTTGGAGCCCCTTGTTGGGCTCTCTCTGGCCCACTACTGCTGAGGAGAAAAACAGCCCAGTACACTCCCGGCAGCTGCGCAAGCTGCACAGGCTCTGGTCTTGGTGTTCAGCTCGTCACTCCCGTCACTCTTGCAGCTACTTGCCTGAGCTTCGAGGGATGCAGAGACCAGTCAATCCCACGCCACTCAACTCCTTCAAGGCAAAGGCTGCCTGGATCAAGCGAGGAGTCGTCGAGTTCCTGACACTGAGAGTGCGGAGCATTGTGGAGCATTGTGGAGCATTGTGGAGCATTGTGGAGCATCGGCAGAGGTTTAGGGCACACCGAGGCATGGCCTTAACGCTCAAGTAGATCCCAGTGGCCAAGATGGAGAGGACCTGAACTTTGCACAGAACGATACCAGGGAATGCGTAGATTCGGCATAGATGCATCGCAGGTAACGGTATCACCGGCACCGCTATCACTGGCATCATTGGCGTCACCTTACCCTGGTCCCCACGTGCTCCGAGATGCAGGCCACAGCCAAAGAGCCGATGACAGGAACCTTCAAACACAGCCTACACAGCCCATGCACCTTCTTCGTTGGCAGTCCCTTGGCACTGGCACGGCGCCTCTATAATTTCGAAGTAGTCCACCACCTGAGCACGGCGGAGACACCCGCCACTTCTCAACAGGTCTAAGCGATGCTGAAAGTCTCGAAGTGCAATGCAAAACACGAATGCGGATCAAGGTCTGCACTGTTGTGTTTGCCCGCACTGAGGAGAGAACGATCTTCAGTCCGATGAATCCGAGCACGAAGCTCACGGCGGGCTCCAAGTAAGTAAACCTTGCTTCTGCGAGCACGCACATCTGAAGGTAGACTGTGATCATCATGGCTTCATGAGCTCGCACTCGCACCTCGTCATGGCTTCTCGCAGGATGAAGAATAAGGACCGCAGCCCGAAAACCGCAAAAATATTCCTCGGGCACAGCCAGCGCAGGATTCAGGGGCCTCTTCGATGATTCTATTGTTCCCTAAGCAGCAGACGACGAGTATGCGATAAACGGATCCTGTACCCGGCGTCAAGGTGTGGCTGCACACGCGGTAACTGGAAGCCATTAAGAGCAATCCCAGGCCTGGGTAGTTCCCAACACGGCAGGCACAGAATCCGTGGCAAACACGATGTCACTGAACCTCAGTAGCGGTTCACAGCTGGCGCACACGGTTTGCTTGAGCCTTCACGAGCCTAAGCCTCAAGCTCAACGACCAGCAAGCACAGAAGTAATGGTGTTGCCACCCATCTCCCATCAATCTGCACAGAGAGCTGCAAGCTGACCCTCCTTCCCCCTTCCTTTCTTCCTTCCTTCCCCTTTTTCTTCCAGGTTTTGAATCTGGAAAACTGAACAAGATGGAAAACATGCAAAATATGGAAGACAATATGGAAAAATGTGAGATCTGAAAGGGGAGCTCCAAGTGGGTTCCTCGGCCAGACCAGGGGGAGCGACTGCAAACCAAGAAATGGCTCGACATGACTCCGACATCCCCGCTCAGAAGACTCGGCGTAGGCCTTCCCTGTTATTCAGCGATCCCTCCCGGGGCTACAGGGGCTCCGAGGCGGTGTGGAGACGCTGCGTTTACACTGCTTACACAGACGCCTTTCCACATGCACGGAATGCATGCCTGCGTAAAAAAGTTGTCTCCATCCAAGCGAGGCGAGATCTCGAACAAATTTGTCAAGGTCCTCAGACGCAGGGTGCAAAGTGTCATCGGGCTGCCGTGGGCACCCTTGACAGGCAAAATCTTTCACTTAGATCCGGGCTTGTAGACGGCACTTTCCTCGATGGAATCGGTGTCGTCTTCATCATCATCATCGCGGCTGGCTAGCCCCTGATTAGTCAAAAGAAACGCTTCCCACTGTGGTTCGACAAAGCGCCCTTCCGTTTTGCCCCCTCATGGTGTGTGCTTTCTGGGGCAGTGGGGTGCAGCGCAGCAGTTTCAACAATCCACGGCTGGGAGACAGGCCTGATACGATGCATACACCTCGAGGCCAGCACAGTACCCCGAAAGTATGATGGGCAATCACTGGCACAAGGCTGCAGCAAGAATCGCAGCGAAGAACAAGATCAGGAAGTCAAACTTCTGCAGCAGCTGTGCACCCAGGTACACAAACAGAAAGCGCCTGTAGCTTCAAAAGAGTCTGGAGCAGCAGTCTGCAACCCACCCACGGCGAAGAATGGCATGCATGTGTGGCAGTCTACCAAGGCCGATGCAAGATCACCGCGCCGGCAATGCCGTAGTTGAGCACTTGCGACCTCTTCCAGGACGCAAACAAAACAAAGATGAATCACTCAGCGAAAAATGCGCATGTGGGGTGCAATATCAAAACTCTGAGGTTGAGATTCTGGCTGGCGATCACCAGTGATTTTAAAGTAGTCAAAAATTACCTTGGGCACTTCAGCATCACTCGCATACTTCCTGACCAAGTAGAGACTACCTGAACTACAATGTCTGTGTCGGTCATAGGTGCAATGAAAACAAAAAGATTGTCGACGGACAGGGAATACTCAATGACGTAGCACGCAAACCTGGCGCTCAGACGAGGAGTAGCTCGCACATTCAGAACAAGTGAAACACAGCCTAGATTGTCCAAAGCAAAGACAGAACACGTTGCTCCGTGCTTCATGCAAGGTGCCATTCAGCACCCGCCACAACTCCCTGAGTCAGTGTGACGAAGGTGCCGAAGAGCATGGCAGAAAGTATGCCAACTGCGAGCACCTGAAAGTAGAAATTTCTGGGTGCTGCACCAGAGAAAGCACCAGGTCGTGTCAACACACACCCTTTGAACACACCCCGACCCTCCAATCTCAGTCGGGAGCCTGCATGTTTTGCCTCCACCAAAGCAAAGGGCAGAGAAGTGTGCGGACATCACAGACGGGTTTCCGGCCTCTGGCTCTGCCAGAGCCTATCCAAAACACCTTTGTTCAGGTCGCGTTTGTCTCGTCATGCCACGGACTTCAGCAGAAACCTGAGACGCCGACCGCTGTTTGCATAAACGGTGGCCGCACCTGCACACATTCAAGCATCACCACCACACAACTTCACCTACGCATCGTGCAAGACGAAGGAGGTAAGACTCTTGCCAGGCTCAGCATCTTCCGATGCCTGCCGGACATCTGCTCAGAATTTCAGATGCGACTCTGACCTCCAGTGTCACCGTGCCTGAAGTGCGAGTCTCCGCTTCCTTCAGCAAAGCTCAGTCGTGCGTATGTCACCGAGATTTCCCTAAAGCATCCTAGCATGTTCACTCACTCCACACTCAGACTCCGCAAGAGGACCCCGGATTCACCCTGGAGAAACTCAAATCAGCGGTCAGAGCTGAGAATGAATTTGGCCTCCATGGATTCTTTAACATGACGAAAACCCAGCTTTCAAAAAATGAACTCTGGGCAAGTGCATTCTAGGATCTGGGCACATGACAAACAAACACACACACACACACACACACACACACACACACACACACACACACACACACACACACACACACACACACACACACACACACACACACACACACACACACACACACACACACACACACACACACACACACACACCACCCACACACACACACC